TGTACCATCTTAACACACCTGAATGCTGCAATTTCTTCTCCATTGTTCTTTGTAAAACTGTTAAAACTCACACGAGGATGAGAGAGAACAGCAGTTTCTTTAAGTTCTGTCAAAATTTAACTGCACAGAGATATGGACTCCAACTTGGCCAGTCAAGAACATTAACATTGGTTTGTTTAAGTCTTTATGGATCGCCTTCCATGGAGTCTGCCATGTTGAGGTGCCATGTTTCTTACCATGTGATGTAGTAGTTTTGTCTTCAAGATGCCACTGTATTTAACCTCAAATCCCATCAAACCTTGATTTAATACAGCTGATCTCCACTTAGTGTATTACATGACTTCTTAAAAGAATTGGCTGCACCAGTAATGATTTACATGTGTCATACATTCATAAAGTTTATTATGTGCAATCAATATTTCTGTGTTTTATACATGTAATTTATTTGAACTGCTTTATAAAGACTTATTTTAAAATGAAAGACTTCCTTATGTTGATGGGTGTAAAAGTCTTAATTACATCCACGGGCCATGGTTACACAATGGCCCCCCTGTGGCCACAAAGTTCTATCGCCTTTGCCAACACAACATTACAGTTCCACCAACATCCTGATTCCTTTGTGCCATTTAGTTCAACATTTTACGAAAAAAAGCAAACAGTACTTGTCGCTCGATAGCTACAGATATGTCACTTGAGTATGAGTTTGCCAAGCTTAATAAACTGGAAAAATGTATTTTTGACCAGCAAATTTAGGGACTTTGTGTCCCATGGGGCCTGTGCTAAAAATGTTAGCCTTTATCCCTGAGCAAGTCTACAAGTAACACACATAACTCAACAAACTGCACATTATACTGTAAATGTGTCCTTACTTTATTATTCAACTACACAGAAAATGTGTAGTTAAAAGAGACTAGACAAGGCAAGGAGTGCTTCATGCAGCCTAAGCATTCAGACAGACAGACAGACAGACAGAGCGAGCCAATCTCCTCTAAATGAAAACCAAACACACACGTTCACACAAACACACACATATGTCCCAAATCAATTAGAAAGTCCCAGAGTTCACAGCTTTACCCACAAACCCCAGCTCCAGGACTAATTATCTAAACACCTCGCCAGCTCTTGTGCAAAGAGCAGAGCATCATGGGAAATGAGACTGCGTTAGCGTCTCTGATAAAGACATATGCAGGACAATGGTTTGTGGAGGTGGAAGATAAGGAGTATGAGAGTGTGTTTTTCAATGGACGGTTGCTTGATCTGTATTTTTTTGTGTGTTTCTTATAACACAAGCCTTGGCACACACTGCTGTTCCCATGGGACTCACACACACACACACAGCATTCAGTGTAAGCACAAACATATTAATCGTGTCCCATCCACATGCATTAAAATGAATTAATAAGGCACACACCAAAGACTCAAGACACATACACAACTGAGAAGGCTGAAAGGAGGAACAGCTACCCACAATGCCCTTGTGCTCTGCTGCTGTGACCCAAAACCCGTCCACACAAACCACACACGCTCATAAAAATAAAAATAAATTGAGATTAAGTGCAGCAGACCCTGTGTGAGCCACACAGAAAGGACTAAAAACAAGGAGCGCATGAGGAGTGAGGCAGGAAAAAAAAAACTAATTGAGGCATTTCGGCAGAGCGAGGGTGGGGGTGTACAGTCGGACGTGAGAGAATAAAGGCTCATAATTGCATAATTATAGCAGTGGATACCTGACACACTGAATGCAGACATCAAATGAGTTCCACATAATTTAACCAAACAGAGGCAAGACCAGGCCACGACAGGGCCCACCACGAAATATACCCTCTCTCTGCTTCCTCTTCTTTGTCTGCTCGGTTATTTTAACATTCTCATCTTGTCCAAAACCTCTCATTCTTACAGTATCAGAGTCTGATACTTTCATTAACCTCTTTATTACTGTACTGTGAAGCTGCAGGCATATGATCTTTTTCAATCATTCTGCAGCCCAGGTGCTGCTGTCTTCGACCCTTGAACTCCTTACTAGAACAGCTGCTTAGTGCTGAATCGATTAGTGATTAAATTGGTCAATCAGATCAAATTAATAAACAGCAACTGTGATAATTTATTAATCATTAAGGTCATTTGCTGAGCCAAACATTCACTCTGGAGTGTGGGTTGCACAAAACCAGCACTTTGGCAATGTGTGATATTATAGGGATCTTTTCTATCTTCTTTTTTTC